ACATGATAAAAACATCAAATCCTTCTACTTCATGTTACATGACAAAAAGGAGCATCTTGTGCCATTCTACCAACACCCTCAGTTTAATAAAGACAACAAGAATTCTGGGACAAGTGCAGTGGTTTATGCCTGTAACTCCAACATTTGAAAGGCTGAGGCAGGAGGATCACTTGAGGCCAAGAGTTTCAGACAAGCCTGAGCAACATAGCAAAACCCTGTATCTCCAAAAAAATAAAAAAAGTTTTTTAACTAGCTGGGTATAGTGGCTCATGCCTGTAGACCCAGCTACTCAGGAGGTTCAGGTGGGAAGATCACTTGAGCCCAGGAGTTCAAGGTTACAGTGAGCTATGATCATATCACTGCTCTACAGCCTGGGCAGCAGAGTGAGATTCTGTCTCAAAAAGTCTGAATGCAGTGGCTCATGTCTGTAATCCCAGCACTTCAGAGGCCAAGACAGGAGGATGGCTCGAGGTCAGGAGTTCAAGACCAGCCTGGACAACATGGTGAAACCCCATCTCTACTAAAAATACAAAATATTGGCCAGGCATGGTGGCATGTGCCTGTAGTCCCAGTAACTCAGGACACTGAGGCTGGAGAATAGCTTGAGCCCAGGACGTGGAGGTTGTAATGAGCTGAGATAGCACCACTGCACTCCAGCCTGCACAATGGAGTAAGTCTCCATCTCAAAAAAAAAAAAAAATGAATAATAATAATTCTGGTCAAGTCTCCACTTCCTTGACATCACCAAAAATAGCATAGATGGCCAAACCTCAGAGGGATCTATCCACTCATTCCAGGTAGTCTTACTTATATTCATGCTCAATAGTATTTCATTTCATAGCAACTCCTCCTGTAAAATAAAAAAGTTTTTGAAGGGTAAAATAAAACTACAGGCTAGGTGTGGTGGCTCACATCTATAATCCCAGAACTTCGGGAGGCTGAAGCGGGAGGATCACTTGAGCCCAAAAGGTTGAAGCTGCAATGAGGCGTGATCTCACCACCGCACTCCATCCCGGGCAACATGGGTTTGCTTCGACTAAAACACTGTTCTCTTCCTGTGCATCTTGCAGATCTCACTTAAAATGTCATTTCTGTGATTTCCCTAAAACACTTGTCACAGCCATAGTTTTGCATTTGTGTGGTTGAGTATCATCTACTAAGGACGGGGATCATATATGCATTCACGCTCCCCCATCTCCAATATATTTGTTGAATAAGTGAATAAATGACCACTAAGTCTATAAAAAAGCAACAAAACATCTTTTAAGAGGACTTAAGAGTTTGGTCATCTTCACAAATGTATCTCTGGTGGATGCCCAAAGCAATTGAGCCCCCTTATTAAACTCAAAAACAAAAAAGGCTCAGATTTATAAATAAATTGCTCTGGCTTTCAATGTCTCAAGGCAAATGCTGAGCATCAAAGGCTGATAGGCTAAACACACACATCCTCCATATATAGTGCACACCTACTGGTTACTAAGTAATTGTTGTTTTTTGGTATTTCCTGATATAGTTAATGCTACATAGGAAGCACTTCAGAAATATCAGTCAAATAAATAGAGAGCAACATTTCACAAGACTCTTGAGCATGACTGAAACAATAACTATACTTCAATTGTGCATTTGGTGTTGGTATAAACCTAACATCAAATGCAGAACAAAGAATCTCTAAAGGCAAAGCCCTGTATTAGTAGGTTCACTATCTAAGATCTCAAACAGGAAAAATGTCCTCTAGATTTGCACTAAGACTATTTGGTAGAAATAGATCACAAATCAAGTGACCTGAGAGCATTAAATAAGACCTTCAAAATGCCACATGGAACATTTTCCCAAACTCTTAAGAATATAAGGCAAGGAATTAGGACTTCCTATCCCCTCCAATACAAATACAAATTATATCTGTACTTCAGAGACAAATCAAGTCCCATTTAACCCATAAATGATTTCTCCACTCTCTGACCTACTACAGCACTTAATATCTCTACCAAATATTTTGCATTTAAACAAATGTCCATTTTACTGCTTTCCTAACAATTTCATGTGTGCAGTCTTTTATTTCTTTTATATCCTTTAAAGTATATAATGCTATAGATGCTTAATATTTATTAAATTGAAATGAAATTATAATTTTGAATTATGAATTTGGTACAGAAACTCCCGCATTTTATTCCCAAATAATGTCATTTCCAAAAATGGTTCACATGCCTCAGTTTTAGCTCCATCATCATCAAATGAAAAATAAAGTCATTATCCAACCATGTTCAAATAAGGCTTACAGTTTCCTTAGTACCACTCATTCAAACTCAATCAGGAGAGGTTTTCCAGTGCCATAGTGTTTTTTGAAGTGTAAGTCTGGGCTATTAACAACACTCTTCAATGTAGCAAATTTCATTTGAAATATTTCTCAAACCTAGTCAGGCCCAGGAAGATCTCCTTTGGCAGAAAAACTGGAAGACACAAAATCTAACCTACAGAATATACTAACCACACCTCAGTCACAACTGGAAAGCAAATTCCCCAGATAAGAATAAATTCAAGATGTACAACTAAGTAAGTCTCACACCTACGGAACAATGGAACAGAAGAGAAAACTCAGAAACAAAGTCCCACACCTACAACCATCTGATCTGCAACAAGCTGACAAAAACGAGCAATTTTTTTAAATGTCAAATAGGGAAAGGGACTCCCTATTCAATAAATGGTGCTGGGATAACTGACTAGCCATATGCAGCAGAATGAAACTGGATCCTTATATTTCACGATATACATAATGGGTTAAAAATTTAAATGCAAAGACCTCAGCCAGGCACAGTGGTTCATGCCTGTAATTTCAGCACTTGGGGAGAATGAGGCAGGTGGATCCCTTGAGCCTAGGAGTTAGAGACCAGCCTGGGAAACATGGTGAAACCACATCTCCACAAAAAATACAAAAATCAGCCAAACGTGATAGTGCACAGATGTAGTCCCAGCTACTCAGGAGGCTGAGGTGGGAGGATCACTTGAGCCAGGGAAGTCGAGGCTGCAGTGACCTGTAGTCACACGACTGCACTCCAGCCTGGGTGACAGTGAGACCCTGTCTCAAAATAAAAGACTATAAAATCCTAGAAGAAAACCTAGGAAACACACTTCTTGACACTGACCTTGGCAAATTTTTGGCTAAGTCCCCAAAAGCAACTGCAGCAAAAACAAAAATTGACAAGTTGTAACTAAACTATAAAGCCTCGAACAGCAAAAGGAATTACCAACAGAGTAAACAGACAACCTACAAAATGCGAGAGAATATTCACAAACTATGCATCTGACAAAGGTCCAGTATCAAGAATCCACATGTAACTTAAACAACAAGCAAAAAACATAAAAGCCCATTTTTTAATTGAATTTTATTTTATTTTATTTTTTGAGACGTAGTTTCGCTGTTGTTACCCAGACTGGAGTGCAATGGCACCATCTCGGCTCACCGCAACCTCCGCCTCCTGGGTTCAAGCAATTCTCCTGCCTCAGCCTCCCGAGTAGTTGGGACTACAGGCGCGCACCACCATGCCCAGCTAATTTTTGTATTTTTAGTAGAGACAGGGTTTCACCTTGTTGACTAGGATGGTCTCCATCTGCTGACTTCGTGATCCACCCGCCTCGGCCTCCCAAAGTGCTGGGATTATAGGCGTGAGCCACCACGACCGGTCAAGCCCATTTTTTAAAATAGGCAAAAGACATAAACAGACACTTCTAAGAATAACCACCCCCCCCCAAAAAAAAAGACCCAAACATACAAGAAACCAACAAATAGATGAAAAAAATGCTTATATCAGAAAAATGCCAATCAAAACAACAGTGAAATATCATCTCACACCAGTCAGAATGGCTATTATCAAAAAGTCAAAAAACAACAGATGCTGGTGAGGCTGTAGTGAAAAGGGAACACTTACACACTGTTCAAATGTAAATTAGTTCAGCCACTGTAGAAAGCAGTTTGGAGATTTCTCAAAGAACCTAAAGAGCCACGATTTCACCCAGCAATCCCATTGCTGGGTATAGAACCAAAGGAAAACAAACGAGTATACCAAAAAGACATAGGCCCCTGTATGTTCACGGCTGAGCTATTCACAATAGCAATGACACGGAATCAACCTAGATGACCATCAATGGCGGACTGGACAAAGAAAATGTGGGTGTACACCATGGAATACTAAGCAGCCACAAAAAAGGAGGAACTCACGTCCTTTGCAGCAACATAGATGGAGCTGGAGGCCATAATCCTAAACAAATTAGCACAGGGACAGAAAACCAAATACCACGTGTTCTCACTTATAAGTGGGAGCTAAACATTGAGCACACATGGACATAAACACTGTGGACTACCGGAGGGAGGGGCGAGATGGCGGATGTGGGTTTAAAACTACCTACTGTGTACTATGGTCACTACCTGGGTGCAATATACCCATGTAACTAACCTGCATGCGTATCCCCCATATCTAAAATATTTTTAATTATATTTTTTTAAAAAGAGTCTCTACGATCAATAAAGCAGATAAAGTGTATCACTGTGGAAAGAGCAAGCGTCAAGAATAATGCTATAATTAAACGGCTGCTGTTCAAGATCCCTGAGGCACCCCATCCCTGCCAGTGCTGAACATCTCGATCAAGACCCCTGAGAACCGCGTCCACAGGTGACCCAAGCCTCGGAAAGCAACCTCGCTATAGCAACAGGCTCTAATGCTGGTCTCGCTCCCCTCACACCATCCTAGGGTACAAGGGCCCAGGCGCTACGAGCACGGCTTGGGAGGCCGGTTCCGTCAAGAGCAGAGTGGGGAGCGGCGGACACTGACTGAGATGCGAGACAGGGGAGATGCGTAGGCCGGGGAGCAACGACAGAGGCGGAAGACGTTCGTCTCCGGCCGCCGCCGCAGGTGCCTGGCGAAGCGCCGCGGAACCTCCCAGAGGCCAGACCCCGGGTCGCCCTCGAGGCGGTCGTGCAGTAGCCGGGAGGCGAGTGAGGGTCTCACCTTTTCTCCCCGGAGGTCGGCGCCGCCGCAGTCCCGCAGTTGCTAAGGAGAATGCTCTTCCGGGTCACGGGCGCGGTAGAGAGCGACGGTGGCCGGGTGGGGCCAAGAGCGACGAGCGAGGGGTGTGTGATCCGCGGCGGGTCTGGTAGTTGGCTTGGCTGCTCAGCCGCGGCAAGGGCGAAATGGCCGGGCCAGGGGCCTCTGCGCCTTCTCCGGCCTCACTCGCGGGGACAACTCGCTGCAACCGTTGGCTCCCAGTGGGCGGCCTCTGAGACGTCTTGTGCCGGGCCCCTCTCCCACCGGCGGGAGCCTTCCAGATCCGGCTCCTGAACCCCGGGGCTCTGCTCCACCCGACCAGGTCTTGCACTGCAGACGCCGCCGGCCCCTTTCCTGTTACATGGCTTTGCCCATTCTTTCATTTACTCATTGCTCATTTATTGAACAATTGCTCAGGGCGAAGTGCAGTGCTGGCACTGAGGATACGGAGATGGGCAACCCCCGCGTGGTCCCTGCCCTCAAGATGCGTGGCTGACGGCAGAGCAGGCAGACGGCGTCCCGCACGCGAGGATGATTGAAGGAAAAGAAAGAAGAGGAGCCTGCCCAAGAGGCCCATCCCGACAAGGGTGGGAAGCAGCTAATGATGGAGACGTCAGCCTAGTAGAAAGGGTAGGGAAGAGGGTTTCAGGTGAGAGAGGAAGCGTAGTTGAGAAAGCCCTGACAGTTCAGTGTGGCCCGCCCAGGGACGTGTGTGGAGAGGAGACAGTCGCTAGGCACCAGACTTAGGAAACCAATATTGTAGATGTGAGCAAAGGAAAAGGAACCCGCAAAGAGCAGCCAGAACGTTTGGAAGAGCACGAGAAGAAAGAAAGTCAGAAAGAAAGAAAGACGGCTGCCATTCTCAAGCTATAGAAATCAAGTGTCCATTGGTGATCATAGAAAAATCAAACTTCCAAGACCAGCCTGGCCAACATGGGGAAATCCCGTCTCTACTAAAAATACAAAAATTTGCTTGGCGTGGTGGCTAGCACCTGGAATCCCAACTACTTGGGAGGCTGAGGCAGGAGAGTTGCTTGAACCCTAGAGGGGGAGCTTGCAGTGAGCCGAGATCATACCACTGCATTCCAGCCTGGGTGACAGAACAAGAGTCTGTCTCAAAAAAGAAAAAAAAAGAGAGAGAGACAGACTACTTAATTAACGATATTTTGCAAACCGTTTTGTTAAAGTATAACCTGGTATTGCTAAAAGGCAATTGTTAGACAAACCTGGGGATAAGATGAGGCTATGGTGGAATGCAGACTTCCCTTCTATTTTGTGGTGATGACAGTGTTCTAGAATTGATGATGAAATGGTAGTACAACTCCAGGGTGAGCCCTTGGAGTTCCGATGCACAGGTGTGCCTGCTTCCCACCGTCTTAGGTTGATCCTTCTCCTTCCCCACGTGTTCCTCGCCCCTTCCCCCAGACACACAGCTCTGTGTTCGCCATGGCAAAGCCATCCTGGCTACAAACCACCCTTGAGGTAGAGCTGGTGAGATGACTGTTTTGAGGAGCCCAAGAGAGACAAGCTACATTTAAATTGTTAGGAAGTGTTTGCCTACAAGGATTTCTTAAAACTCTTTCTAGACACACCTCAAGGGAAATATTTTCTCCTCTCACCTCTTATCAACAGATGGTCAGTAAATTGAACACACTTTGCTCTGAATATGAGAGCTGCCCTTGAAAAGCTATCAGGCAGCCCCAGTAAGCAGGCGAGAACCTGGTGAGAGACTAAAATGCGCATGAAACAATTCAGCAGCTGTCTGGCTCTTGCTCTAAACTCATAACTGCTTTCTCCGTCTTGGGAGAAAACCTCATTTGGGCCCCCAGGTATCCATAGTGTGAATTTCAGCAGTTTTGGGTGATCTTTGGAGGCTTGCTTGTCACATCTTTATGTAAGGGTTTGGTAGACCAGGTGGTTTCAATAAGCACAACAGACACATCTGGTACACCTTTGTTAACCTCCCCAATGTACATGACGTAGACATTTTACTGAGTATAAACCCAGGTTTGAATTCTAGTTCTGCCATTCCTTGGGCAAATTACTCAACTTCAGTGTGCTTCAGTTTCCCTATCTATAAAATGGGAATGAAAGTAGTCATTAGGATTAAATAAGTTAATAACCAGTGGCTAAGTAAGCACTTAGGATAGCACCAGCATACAGTAACATGCTACAGGGATTCTTTTTAACATCCAGTTTGATAAATTATTCCTTCTGATTTCCCTCTACACTTTATTCTTCACTGATAATGGAAGGAATGATTTATCAAATTTAATCATATATATATATACTCAAGAAAATAAAAACATAGACCAGTTGTTTATTACATGGCTTACACCTGTAATCCCAGCACTTTGGGAGGCCAAGGCAAGCAGATCACTTGAGGTCTGGAGTTCAAGGCCAGCCTGGCCAACATGGCAAAACCCCGTCTCTACTGAAAATACAAAAAGAATTAGCGAGGTGTCATGGCACACACCTATAATCCCAGCTACTCTGGAGGCTGGGGCACAAGAATTGCTTGAACCCAGGAAGCAGAGGTTGTGGTGAGCCAAAATCATGCCACTGCACTCCAGCCTGGCAGCAGAATGACATGTCTCAAAAAATAATAAAAATAAAATAAAACCGTATATCCCCCCATTCGAAAATGTGTACATACCTGCCATAGCAGCATCATTCATAACAGCCAAAAAGGAGAAACGACCCAAATGTCCATCAGCTAACAAAAAGGTAAACAAAATGTGGTGTTATTCATATAGCGGAATATTATTTGGGCATAGAAAGAAACAAGTTCCTGATACATGCTACAACGTGGGTAACTCTTGACAACACTGTACTAAGTAAAAAGCCAGACACATAAGGCCACATATACCGTATGATTCCATTTATATAAAAGGCCCAGAAAAGGCAAATCTATTGACACAGAAAGTAGATTAGTGTTACAAAGGCCTGGGGAGTGGGGATTAGAGGTTGACGGTTAAGGGGTACAGGGTTTCTTTTCAGGGTGATGAAAATGTTCTAAAATTGATTATGGTGATGGTAGCTCAACTCTGTGGCTAAACACCATTGAATTCTGCATTTTAAGGGGGTGAATTATGTAGTATATGAATTATATCTCAAAAAGGTGTTACAAAATAAATTTACTTTTTTTCAAAACAGGTGAAAAGTGTGTGTGCGTGAAGTTAATTTTTTTTTTTTTAGTTAATTTATTTTAACCCTCAATCCACTGTATTTACTGATCCTTACAAAACTATGACACTAAAAGTTTATTTTCATGCTGACCTTTAATATGGGATCTGAAACAAAATGTTCAACTAGATTCAACAAATTTGGAAGAGTTGGTTCTTTGTTGAATAAATATTTCCACCTTTCTTTTTTCTTTTCTTTTTTTTTTTTTTTGTTTTTTTGTTTGTTTTTTGAAACGGAGTTTCACTCTTGTTACCCAGGCTGGAGTGCAATGGGGCGATCTCAGCTCACCGCAACCTCCGCCTCCTGGGTTCAGGCAATTCTCCTGCCTCAGCCTCCCGAGTAGCTGGGATTACAGGCATGCACCACCATGCCCAGCTAATTTTTTGTATTTTTAGTAGAGACGGGGTTTCACCATGTTGACCAGGATGGTCTTGATCTCTTGACCTCGTGATCCACCCGTCTCGGCCTCCCAAAGTGCTGGGATTACAGGCTTGAGCCACTGCGCCCGGCCATATTTCCACCTTTCAAGTGACTTTATCCTTTCCAGAGATATAAAGTTGTTCAAGGCATTGACTTAAAATAAAAATCTTGAGGGAAACCCAAGTATTCTTATGAAGAAAGTTTCATGTGAAACTCAAAGCACACAACCAGATAAAGTGAATTTTCACTGTGAGCCCCCATGCACTCATGGCTGGCTTTAGTACCTCCAGCCTTGCAGCCCCAATGTCTGAGGTGGCCCTAGCCCCTAGCTCTGCCAGTCTGGCCACAGTGAAATCTCCCCGGGAGCCTCAGAAACAGTCCCTATGTCTCTGGTGCTGCTCTCCGCTGCCACCCCAGAGACTAGCCCCTCCCTCAGTGGTCCCTTAGGTGAAAGGGCAATGAGAGGCAGCCTGCCACCATTTCCAGGGTGTCCTGAGAAAGCATCAGGACGTCAGGGCAGCACAGCCTTCCTCATTCACACTCAGGGCACCCAGAGCCTGCCCATGGAGCCACAGTCACAAGTAGGGAGTGGGCACCTCCCCATGAGGAGTGGATCCCCTAGACTGGGGTGAAGAGAAACACCAGTGCTGGCCATGAGTGAAGCTCCCTGTGCTGGTTGTTCTCCACTTTTCCCTTCACCCCCAAATTCACTCTCTTTATTTTCTGCCCTGCATAGCCATGATTTCATTGGGGGTTGCTTTCAGTGGTTATAGCCCCAGCAGGAGGCTCTGCTATCCCATTCTCAGCTCTCTGCCACAATCCTCTATTTAGTTCTCATATCACACAAATAGTCCCATCACTAAACTCCCAGTAAAACCCTCTGAGTTGCCACAATACTGACTCCAACGCCTCTCCCCACCAAGACTCTTGGGGAATCCTAAGATAGAGAAGTAGCTCCCCAAAATGATGAAATTGACTATTCTATCATTAGGACAGCTGAAGGCTGAGCCACATTTAATCTGGTTTGGAAAACTTTTTTAAGGTGTCATTCTTTTTGCCTTAGTGCTGCTGAGCAAACCCATACTGTGATGCAAGTGTGGACCTCTGTGTGTAATAGGGCTGCCTATCACCTGTCCACTGGAAGTCCTTGTGTATTCGCCCTCATTTTGAAGAGAGTTTAGATGCATATGACCATTGATCACCTTGATTAAAGCTCCCTTGGCTACTCCATCCAGAGCATGGCACTGGCCCCTCCTCTCAGTCCCCCAGTAGAGCAAAGGCCAGATTCTCACAGGTGCCTGAGACCACAGGGACGCACAGCACAGGTAACAATGTCACTGCACATGCCCAGACCCGGCTCAGGCTGCTACTGGGGAAGCACCTGTTTCCTGATGGCCAGAGGCAGCTCACTGCTCCCTCTGAAACTGCCCCAGTGCTCCCCTTATGGCAAAGCCAGGCCCCACTGACCCAACCATCAGCTCCAGAGAGAGGATCTTTTTCTGCCATCTTTATCAAAGGCCCCACCCTATTCTTCCTGCCCCAGGACATTATCTGACAGTGGAAAAACCAGGGCATGCGGGACCAGGATGGGGTTGGCTTCTCTGATCCCATTAAAGTAATCTCAATATATCACAAGATCTAAGTTATTCACATTCATCTGTGGTCAGTTCACTATATTTTAGTAAAAATGCGGAAGCAACCTACAAGTTCATCAATAGGGAAGTGACTATTTAAATAAATGATGAGACCTTCATTCAACAGAGGCTGCTACAAAACCATGCTATAGTGCAATTGAATTGTATTATTCAAATAAATGGATGTTTATGTGTTTATATACATAGAAAAATATCTGCAAGGAT